CTCAGTTAGGTATTCGCTCGTTTTGTCGTCCTATGCATAGCAGGAAACTCGAATTTCAATTTTAGTGATTGCTTGAATATGATGAATACACTTGAGTTCAATTTTACATTCTTCTGTAGCTGGCGTGTGGATAGATCTATATACCTAGTTACAGAATTGATGTTAGAGCCATGGTTGTTGATTACGAGAAGATAAAGTTTTGGTGGAATGTTTCTTATTCTATACTGTTGTATGTGTTCTTTTAGGTTGCGGATAATTTGCTTCATGATTCTTCCAGCAATTTGGAAACTTTGATATTTTGCTCACAGACCCTTAGAAGCAAGGTAACACATTTTTTTATCCTCTCTAAGTGAAATCCTGGAGACTGCACTCTGTTGACATCTGGTCTGTCTTACTCTTAAGGTTCAACGAGATTTTGAAGAACTACCACATGGGGCTTTTCAGAAGCTACGGGAATCATTAACGGTAAGTCTTTGTTCCATTAAGTAAATTTTTTTTTCCATGAGTTATAGGGTTTCTGAAATGTATGTTTGGTTATCGTTTGAACAATAATGTAATTGGAAAACTCAGTGGAACTAGTTTTTGCCAATACATATGCTGGCATATACCACAGTTTCGTTATTCCGGCTTATAATGGGGGCAATATGCATTCTTAGCAAACTTTGACTGTTGATGTTTTCTCAATTTCAGACATTGTTGAAAAAGTTTCACAAAGGCCCTCCAAAAGTTAGGACCCAGGTAAGCTTCAGAAATCTTTTTCCATTATGTGCATGTGGGAATTTCTGTTGTGCGTAATAAGTTATGTACTATGAGCCGAGTTATCTTATTCAAGTATTTTGTTTCGTAGATTAGTATTGCCGTTGCTGCCTTGGCGGTGCATGTCCCTGCAGCAGATTGGGGAGATGGTGGTATAATTAGCTGGCTTAGGGATGAGATGAATATGCATCCTGAATATGTGCCTGGATTCTTGGAACTCTTGACAGTTTTGCCCGAGGTAGAGTATTTTTTTATTCCTTTTTAACTGTTCATCTCTCTCAGTGATAAGTGTGAATTTATGTATCCAGCTATATAGGTATGAAAGGCTTATTTTGGTCTGACTTGGATCTGCTACTTCTTAGCTATGCTAGTATTGTTGAACTCAAATTAACTAGACCAAAGCTTTAGGTGGACAATGTCTTTCGTGAATAATCTGTACCTTTTTACTGTTAGTGTGTCTAAGTATGCATTTTATGTTTCTCTATAAGTGTTATATCAATCCCTTAAGTTATGGTTGGATGAGGGGAAAAAGAAGTATTGGTTGGGTAAGACCTTGTTATTTCCAAGAAAGCTATTTTGCATGATCCTATTTTGCAGAAAGTTCTCTGAATTTATTTGTAATTAAAGGAAGCTTTCATAATGTTTTCACAAGTTTCTGCCACATCTTTTCTACATTTCCCTTTGATTAATTGTATGTTTACTTTAATCTAGATGGTCATTTGGTGTCTTGATTTTATTGTCCTTCTTGCTATGAACAGGAAACATTTAACTACAAAATAGCTGCTCGTCCGGATCGACGACGTCAGTTTGAGAAAGAACTTACTTCGCAAATGGAAGCTGCACTTAGTATATTAACAGCATGTTTGAATATAATTGAACTTAAGGAACAGGTCAGAGCTTATCTTTTATTCACTTTCCATGATCCTTCTGAAAATCACCTTTAAAGTTTTGGAAAACCGTCTTTTATGGTTCTGATGCACTTTGTATTTTATTACTATGCACTGAATTTTCGTTGCTTTACCGGTCAGAGTCTTTGTTTGCCTTGTAAAAACAATGTGGCAAGTTTTGTATAAAAGCTTTATTGCAATTTAGGCTCTCACTTTACTACCAAATTTTGATGTTTCTTCTGGCAATATTATAGCTTTTGAAAAATGTCTTGTATTTCCCAATACATAATAGAATTAGTTTTGTGTGTGTGTGGTGGACCAGCTAGAGTTTCTGGTGTTGCAAGGGGTCACTTATTGTCAGTTGTTTCTTTTGTAATTTTGGAATGTACAGGTTCTTGAGGCATTTGCTTCTTGGCTCCGTCTTAGGCATGGGTATGCTCTTTCTTTTTCTTTTCTATCTCCAGTTTATATAGAACAGAAGCTCTTCTAGATTACATATTCAATGTCAGTTCATCAGGTTGAAAATCAAACATTCATTATAATATAAGACTGATGGCTTCTTACTAACATGTTTTACTATTTGGGTCACATTGTTTTGTCCTATTAGAATTCCTTAGACACGGAGCTAAGTTTATCTGATCCATAGCTGTTGGTTGCTACTTGCTAGCCTCACTATTTTTCACCGATATTCAACTTAGCAATGATGCCTACAATTTAGCCTCACTATTTTTCACTGATATTCAACTTAGCAATGATGCTACTGACTAAATTGTTTGCTGGTAAACTTTGGCATGGTCTCTTTCAGGATTCCTGGAGCAGTGCTTGCTTGTCATCCATTGGTGCACGCAGCTCTCTCAAGTTTGAACTGCGATCCACTCTCAGAGGCATCTGTGAATGGTATACTCGTTGAAAAAGCTAATATATACATAAGCCTTTAAAGTCTTTGGGTTTCTTCATATACTTCATTTTCAACTTCGCAGTTATCTCGGAATTGATACATCACACAGCATCGGCAAGCTCTGGTGGTATTTCAGCGCAAACACCCTTGATTCAAGTTATTGTCCCTCAGATTTTAAGTCTTAAGGCCCATCTAAGAGATTCTTCAAAGGTATTGCTATGATCCTGTTTACCTTTTGTATTCAAATAGGAATTTGATGGCTGAATCTACTTGATATTAAGCTTAAACAACTATGATTTTGTTGCTCATGGTGCTAAAGATGTCCCTCATAATTCGTTGTAATTTTTGGCATGTGCTTGTAGTTTCTCTTTTGTCTCTTAGAGTTATTTCACTTTCAGGATGAAGAAGATGTCAAAGCTATTGGTCGATTATTCGCTGACGTGGGCGATTCATATGTTGAACTGATTGCTACGGGTATATGGCCTCATTTCAACTATTCTGCCCTTTTTTTTAAAGCTCTTTTTCATGTCTCTTGATTGTTTCTGGTGCTCCAAATTCTTTATTTGGTAAACTAATATGTTCAAAGGTTCTCTTTCTGACCTCTAGGTTCAGATGAATCAATGGTTATTGTGCATGCCCTGCTCGAAGTTACTTCACACCCAGAATTTGATATAGCCTCAATGACCTTCAACTTTTGGCACAGTCTTCAACTTACGTTAACAAAGAGGTAATATCCGCCTTGATGTTTGCTGGGTGCTCCGAGTGTCTTGTTCTGAGAGTGTGATTTTAATCTATCAGGGATTCTTATATGTCCTTGGGTAGTGAAGCGGCCATTGAAGCTGAGAGAAACCGAAGGTTGCATGTTTTCCGGCCAGCCTATGAGAGCCTTGTATCTTTGGTGAGTGTGTCACTAGATCCTCAAGTTCATTTTTCTTAGCCACTCTAAAGTCTTACTCTTTCAAATTTTTTTGAACTTGTTGAACCATGATTGATTTCTGATGTATGAGTGACTTCTGTGTTTGATTAATATTGCTCTGTGAAAAATGCTGGTTTGCTAAAATTTTGTTTGATAGATCATTGTTTGGTGGAAAACAGAAAATTAGATGGTTCATATTCTTCTTGTATTCTCTATAGTGTTTGTCACCTCGTTGGGTTTAACATATACACTGGTTTCCCTTCACAGGTTGGCTTCAGAGTTCAGTATCATGAAGATTATCAAGGCCTTTCGTATGAGGACCTTAAGGAGTTCAAGCAGACTAGATATGGTAATCATAGCTGCACCGTATGACTTGTTATCAACATTGCACTAGACCAAATTCTCTAGATATAAGAGGTGCTCTAAGGAAGAATTGTATCCCTCAAGGATTTAAATGGATCAGCTCTACCCTGGATTTTCTAATCTGATTTCTTAGCAGTGTTTTCTTCCCTTGTTTTCATTCTTTACATTGTTTCCTGAAGCAGATAGAGTATTATTTTTCATAGGTTATTTGGTTGTTTTAGTCACTCAGTTTTTACAGGGTGTTGTACCTCTCAATGTCTGTTTTTGATGTCTTCATTTAACATTTGTTGATGTGTGCTATGCTCAATGATCTCTGACGGGCCAAATTTCCTCTTTTTGTTTTATTTCGTTGAACCT